AAAAAATAGCAAATTAACTGTAGGCTTGTAACTTCTAGTGGTGTAAAAGCCACCCACCTGGACATCAGGTCTACACAGGAGCCATTTATCACAGAAAAGAAGCTCCGCACCCTCTCCTGAACCACCCACCAAATTCCTCTTTTCTCTCAGAGGTACTCATTTACAAATTGTAAAGCAGAAATGACTGTCATAATTATAAGCTATCGCTAAGTTTGGAGTGCGAGTTTCATCCATTTCTCTAGATTCTCTGTTATAATTTATCACTCAAGTAACCCCAGTAGAGTGGGCATCTAAAAGATAAACTTTGTGCGTCTTTATAGTACACACACACACACACACACACACACGCACGCACGCGCGCACACACGCACGCGCGCACGTACACACATACACAAAGGGGAAGGGATGTGTGTATGTGGGAGAGAGAGAAAGGGAGGGAAGGATGGAGAGAGGTGGAAAAGGAGAGGGGAAAAGGGAGGCAGGCAACAGTATCTTTACTGTTTAAGGACTTTGTAAGAGCTCTACAGAGCACGTACCTTTCATGTCACTCTGACAATTGCCTAGTTCTCTACTAGATGTTTTGGTTCTATTATTTCTAGAAAAGAGTTGTTCTTAAGTCTTCTTAGAAACTAAGAGTTTGTGATTATTCACAAATCACAAGCTTTATAGAGCACGTATCTTTCATGTCACTCTGACAGTTGGCTAGTTCTCTACTAGATGTTTTTGGTTCTATTATTTCTAGAAAAGAGTTGTTCTTAAGTCTTCTTAGAAACTAAGAGTTTGTGATTATTCACAAATCACAAGCTCTATAGAGCACACATCTTTCATGTCACTCTGACAATTGGCTAGTTCTCTACTAGACGTTTTTGGTTCTATTATTTCTAGAAAAGAGTTGTTCTTAAGTCTTCTTAGAAACTAAGAGTTTGTGATTATTCACAAATCACCACCTCTTTTACCTCCTCTTCAATTTTCCACTTTTTTTCTTTTTCTTTTTTGAGCTATGGATTACCCCCTGGGAACACGTTGCCCTCTTACACTCTCCACAATATATCGGGGAGCACTTCTACTGTTTTGTATACCATTTTCCTGAGGATTTTGTGATGAAAGGGTGATCGTTCTTAATCCTTGGATCGATAGAGGTTATACATTTCACAAGCCAAATGAACAAAGTAATCAACTTCCCCAAATTATATTGCTTCATAGATCAAAGAGAAACAGGAAACTTTTCATCGATCTTTCCACCATGTTCCTCAATAAAGCATGACATTTGCCCTCCTCTTGAAGTTCATCACTATTCTCTCCGTATATACTTCTGCTGAGGAATAAGTTTTAACTTATGGTTTTACTTCTTTTAGATGTTTGCTTCCCTCAAAGTTGTCAATAAATTCTATTTTTTAAAGTAATGAGATTAATGGGATTAAGTGTTGTATGTTAATTGCTTCCTTATTGAAAAATTGTAGTGTACCAAAAGTTGGGTAACTTAAGACTATTTATTCTGGAATATGTTTCTGCAGGACTAGTTAGGGGATGTACTCTAAATTTTAACAATCAGTTGCACATATTTTCTCCTTTTCACTTGTTGTAATATTGCTTATTTACTTCAATGACCAAGCCACGTTGTTGCTTTCAGTAATACATAGAAATGCATACACAATTAGCTATAGAATTCCTCCTAAGTTCGGAACTATACATCTAACAGATAAGAAAATATATCTATAACCTCTTGATGACTGGGTACATTGTTATCCCAGGAATTCACCTATGGCTCCTCCACAATTTTACAGAATTCTAGGTAAAATAGGCATGTGAATGATATATGAGTATAGGGAATATTAGACTACGATAGGGAAAAGAAACAGCATATAAAACCCCACAAAGTACAAAGCAGAGACAACTAACTCATATCATTACTGAGCAGATTATTGGGGAAGTGGTTCCAAGGAGGTATTACAGACTGGATTCCCCAGGACGCAAAGTCTGACATGGGGAAAGCACTGGGAATTTATTGGTGAGTGTTTTGGGGGATGAGACATGTGGAAGAGAAGGAAATGAAGAGGAACTAGGCAGGAGGAGAGCAGTCGAGAAGCAGTGGAGTCTAAAAGAAGACTTCAGCCAATTCTTCAGGGAGCTTTGAGACCATGATGACCCTTTCGAGTTTTCCCATAGGGGCGAGGGTCCTGGCCCTTTACAACCCTGGTCTACCAGCCATTGTATCTGTACAACCTCAGGAAGGGGCGTGACCTTGGGTGAAATGCCTCTCTTTTAATCAGGAATTCCTGAAGAGGAATTACAGCTAAGGACCATCTTCTGGCAGCACTCAAAATAATGGAGGGACTAAGTCCTCCAGCCGTAAGGGAGGACCTGAATGGCACATCACAGGGTCCACTGCAGGAAATGTTATTTGCAATGAACATGCTGATAAACGATAATTAGTATTATACTTACCCAGTTATATTGGAAAACGCCATACCCTTGTGTTTATATATCACCTATGGCTGTTTCATGCTACAGCAACAGAGTTTAGTAGTTGTAACAAAGGTGTTTTTCTTTGTATGTATCATGCTTGGAATTTGGTAAATTTCTCAGGTATCAGGAATTAATATTTAGCCATTTTTTTCTTCAAACATGTGTTTTTCTGCCCAATCTGTACCTTCTCTTGTCTTAGTACTCTATTTGCATGATTGTTAGAACACTTAATATTTTCTTACAGTTTACTGGAGTACTGTTCTTTCTTAAACCTTTTTTTTTCTCTCTCTCTCTCTCTCTGAACTTCAATTTGGAAGGTTTATATGACCCTGTATTCAAGTACACTATGTTTTTTTTCTCTGCTTCTAATCTGCTGTTAAGCTCAGCAGTAAAAGTTTCATTCCAGATATAATTTTAGTTCAAAAACTTCTATTTCATTCTCTTTTGTTTTTTCTATTTTCTCCATAACATTTCATATTTGTTTCTTCAATATTTACATATTGTCTTTCAAATAATGGAACTAATTTATTACCTCCGTTTTAAAATCCTGGTCTGCAAATTTCATCATCTGTCATTTTCCAGTCTATTTCTATTCATTGTTTTTTCTCATATCTACCCACTTCCTCAAGTGTCTAGCACTTTTTAAAATTTTATATTGGACATTATGGGTGCTATCTTGTTAAATTTCTAATCTTTCATTGCCTTTTAAAAAAATTATTAAATTTGTTGGAGTGACATTGGTTAGTAAAATTAGATAGGTTTCGTAGAATCCCACCACCATTATGGCCTTCCTTAATGGAATATTGAGTTTTGTTTGAGCCAGGAATTAACTTGTTTGTGAGTCAGATTGATTTTTTTTTTTTAGATTAGTTACCAACCTTTGTTCACCTGTGTCCAGAGTAGCCCTTATTTTCAGTCTAAATTATTTTAATTCTTTCCTGAGATCTCTACTAAATGCTGTGGTTGTTCAACACGTTCTCTCAATCTTGTCTGGTCTGAAATAAAACTAACCCCAGTCCTGTGCACCCTCTGGTGTTGTTCCTTTCAGATCTCCCTTGCCCTGGACTTGTGGAATCTTAGTCTGCAAATACACAGCTTGGTGTTCATCCAGGGTATGGCCTACAAACACTCATTAGCAACCTATGCAGAGTCCCAGAGCCCTTTCTCTGCACAGCTGCTCCCCCACTCTGGTACTCAGCCCTACAAATGATTTCACTCAGTAGCTTTGATTCTGATTTGCCCCCATCTCAGTGATGCTGTGGTTTCTGTTTGAGATGCTCTTCCATGCTCCGTGATCTGGAATGTGAGCCAGGCAGGACGGAAGCCAGGAAGCTGGCAGGGCCCCCTCATTTGTTTATCTCTTCTCATGGATCAGGGTCCTGCACTGTCTGTCTTCCGACCCCTAAAAAAGGGTGATTTTATACGTTTTATCATGTTTGTAATTTTTTGTGGTGGGAGAGCTGTTCTTTCATAGCTGAAAACAGACATAAGCCATATAAACATCATTAAATGAATGATAATGCTGTGATGATTTACAAAATGATTTTTATTAGCACAGTCCTCATTGAACACTTTATTGTCAGTCTTTAAATTCCACATTTGAAAAGTTATGCATATATTGTACTGGATAACTAATTGGATAACTAATTGAATATTTTTCTCTTATTTACTTCCATTAGTAGCCAAACTCACTCAAAAAAATTATATTGCCTGTTAGTACTAAGCATCACGCCATGTTTTCTGTAATATACTTATGTACAAGCATTGTTATTTTACATAATGCTGTAAATTAAAGGTCTTTTTGTTCTATAGTAGTGCTACTTACTAATATTTTTACATTCTTACTATTTGCCAATCATTTATTATAATTTGCCAAAAGAAGCTTCATTTCATTTAATAACTCAAATTGTCTTCCTAGAAATGTGGTTATCAAGAGTCATTGGTTGTGTCTCTTAAACATGTTGCCTGATTTACTATGTACCTTAAATCTTATGAGTACGAGGGCTTAATGTCAGATTAAGCTTCATCTTAAGAACTACTAGCATTCTTTGAACACTCAACTTTTTAAAGCAAAGATATATGTTTTAGAGTCATATATATATATATATTTTTTGTTTGTTTGTTTGTTTCATTTATAATCTACTAAAAGACAAAACTTTCCATGAGGAATTAATAGATTGTTACATATTTTTTCCTAGTGATTTTTAGTTGAAGAATTCATAGTAAATTGATCAACCCTCATCCAATTAAGACTTTGACATGTACTAATAAGATCTAATTGAGAAATTATGAAGACATTTGCTCAGGAGAAAATGAGCACATAATTACACCATAAAGAGGTTAGAGCATCAATGTTACCCAGCTGGACGAATATTAGTGGAAGTCCCAATGGCATCTGTAGAGGACGCTTCATAATTTATCTGTGAAATATAGCATTGCCAAGGCCAAGTCAAAGATGAAGAGTAACCCCTTGTCAATTGCAGAAGTTGAACCTTAAATATCTGTTTTTCTCCTCTTGTCTCTGCCTTCTTCAGGTGCTGGGGGATGGTCTCCCTCTGACAGTGACCATTATCAATGGCTCCAGGTTGACTTTGGCAATCGGAAGCAGATCAGTGCCATTGCAACCCAAGGAAGGTACAGCAGCTCGGACTGGGTGACCCAATACCGCATGCTGTACAGCGACACCGGGAGGAATTGGAAACCCTACCACCAAGACGGGAATATCTGGGTGAGTCATTGTCAGGCCAAGACACCAGTTTGAGCAAATAGCTGACCCCTGCCCCTATCTGCTGGTGTGCAGCCTCAGGAGGCGGGAGGGCTTGGGTGTGGCCTGGTTGGAGGTGATTTTGCTGGTTGTTTCTTGTTTTTGTGTTTGTATCCTCTGGTACTTGCTGAAAGAGAAATGTGAGTCAAGCCCAAGGAAGTAAGAAAATGGATCCAAACCCTAGCGTGCCCCCTCTCTGTGCAATGCCTTTCTCATAGTGGTGGGAACTCTTTTGTCTTTCAAAGTGAATGTGTTCTCTTCCCTAAGCTCTGGTGTATTTCACAGCAAAGTGTGGAAAATGAAACTGAGTTTTATTTTCCCATAAAACTGTTGAAACCTGGAAAAAAAGAAGAAAGAAAGAAATTATTAGGTAAATAATTTAAAGATCATAGAACACTATAATTTCTTTAAATGCAATATTTCAAGTTACTGTATTTTTGTCTAGAGTACGGATCTGAAATGGTACAAATTGTACCCAAATACGAAACCATGAATTAGGTAGAATAAAAAACGTTTTCTTTTCAAACTTAGGTTTCCATTCCTTACTCCCACTCACTCTTACTTTCCTCAGACTGTTTCTATTGGAGATATTAAGTTAAATCTTTAGAAGACAACATGTGAAGATCCACTGCCAACAGGGTTAATTAACTCAGACAGGCTGATGGGCGCTGGAGGTGGGGGCGGAAGTGGGGGCGTGGACTCTGATGCAGTTCACTTCCTGTCGGAGCCAGTCCTGTTTTCTATTTTATTGTAATCCAGGCCCATTTAGATGAAGCACCACTCAGTAGTTAGTGACCATTTATACATGGCGAGAAGAGTAAGGTAGAAAAATGGTTTTCTTAAAACAAACAAACAAACAACAAAAAAAGGAGAAAATGGAACCAACCGTAGCTCTGGAGCACATTTGGCTCCACACTGAATATCCCCTCCCCAAAAAGTTTTACATATTTTAAAATATTACTGGTCCTCACTGAGGTGTATGCATTTGTCAATATTTATCTATTAAACACATTCAGGGGAGCTGGTTGTTTATTTATTTGTTTGTTTATTCTTGTTGACTGAAGAGCCCCTTTTCTCATACTGCAATTTCTATCCAAGGCTTAGAGCAATGGGCCTCAGTCTGGTTTATCCATTTGAATGACCTGAGGAAGTTGTAAAGAATATGGATGCCAGGCCCACCCAAACCCATTAAACCAGAATCATTTAAGTGGAAATTCAATTAATGATACTCATAACACTTTTACGCACAAAGATCTTCAATTTGAGTACAATATTTAAATAATGAAGAAATAATCTAGAGGAGTAGGAGCAGTGGGTATATGGTAAGAAATCGTCCATATTATAATAGTGGTTTATAACAGATCTTATTACAGATCTATATTCTTTTATTTTATTATGAGAGAAAAGTAAAAAAAGAAAGTAGAGTCCATTTACTCCTAAAATATTTCAGTTACTTTGGAAAATTATGTGTATCAAATCAAATACTCACTATAGTTGAATAAATTATTTTAAAATACTAAATTTTGAGGGAATCTATTTTAGTTCAATTATTTTAAATAGCACCCATAAGCGAAGTCAAGTAAAACTATCAGTATTTAACAAAAAGATAAAGGAGGAGGAGAAGTGGGAGGAAATTCTCATTTTAAATTGTGTTCTTCACAGTATTAGGCAGAGTGCAGCGGTTTTTTAACCTGATCAGGGTCCACTCTTGGAAAACTTATATTTTAAAAGTAATCAAGTAACTTGTGTGAGTAGCCAGAGGTTAGAGCTCCTAGTGTTATGGAGGGAGGGCCGATGCCGGATGCATCTAGGAGCCAAAACTATGGCACTGGCTTTTGAGAAAAGAAAAAGCTTTCGTTGCTCTTTGGACCAGCAGACAGGAGGCAAGGCTCACATCTGTTTCCGTGACCCAGGGTTTGGGGTATGTTTTAAGAGGTTAGGGGAACAGGCTGGTTTGCCAAAGCTCTGCTGGAACAGGTTTTGATTAAAGAGCTTTGCCTTTGGCCATTTATGGTAAGATATGGGAAGGGTCTCCAGCACTGGATCTTCAAAGGATTCTGGTGTTCAAATTACAGTCACGTCCTGGTCCTTTGGTTCCACGAAGGGGACAAGACTTTGGTTCCGGGTGCAGCTGGAGGTCAAAGTCCCTTTCTCTGTGCATACTTCTGCAGCACAACTTGTGGTTTTGGTATGTTGTCTCTGAAAAACAATTCAGTATCTTCTCGTTAGAAACAGGATGGAACCAGTCTGAGCTGGTTCTACAGTTACACTAGCTTGAGTAGGTGGTCATTTCTATAGCAGTATGCAATTCGAGTAACTGTCCTGTGAAATAAGTACATAATGTCCCCAAAATAAAAAGTGTGATGCCAGAGTAGTTCTTTAGAAATAACTTCTGTCAAGTCATGAGTGTCTGGCAAGAACATGTGCATGTATTGGGAAATGTAAGTTGTAGGAAGCAAGTAGTGGGGAAATGTCTCTTCATGGAAAGTTTTCATCTCATAATTAAGATAATTCAAAGTTTCAGGCATAAAGTATAGAAAAGTGGCGTTTAACCATGATACACAATGCAATAACCCAGAAAGCTTTAAAACATGTGGATGTTTGGGTCCCACCTCCAGATTTTGGTTTTAGTTCATCAAAGGTTGCAACCTGGGCATTGGGATTTTAGCTGCCCAGGTCTTTCTAATGTACAGCCAACACTGAGAACGATATTTTAGATTGGTGTTTGGCCTGTGGGTAGGGTGTGGGTGGAGAAAGCTCATTGAGAAAAATAGTGAATAGAGTATATAAAGGACTTTTTTTAAAAGTTTAGCAGAGAGAGAGAGGGAGAAGAAGAGGGAGAGAGAGAGAGAGAGAGAGAGAGAGAGAGAGAGAGAGAGAGAGAGAGATTGAGAGATTGAGAGAGAGAGACTGACCAAGTGACCAACCAACCAAACAACAGACTGAGAGTTAACAATTAAGACTCAGATCTCCAGCTCTTCCGGAAAGCACTCCTTTTCTAACTCTCTGAGGATTCTAACCTAAAATCAGATTAGCAGATAGACAAAATTATTTGAGGGACTTCAAGCCAGACTCAAAACTATCTTTCACATGTCTGTGTTTGTAAAATTTTCATCTCATCATTGAGCAAGTGTCAAATCCTCCCCTATCATAAGGCACTGAAGTAATAATAAATATGGCTGCTAACATACCACAGTGCTGGAGCTTTAATTTAGGTATCAGATACTTAGCAGTTACGGATAATCCCGTTCTGACTAAACACAGAAACCTAAATTCAAAGGGCTAAGGAGGGTAAAAATTTCCAACGTGCCTTGGACTCTTTGGGCAAGATAACAATTACATTATGTTAATAATCTATGACAGAAATGTTTTCATCTTTGTTAATATGAAAATGGTCCATTGTTTTTGATGTATTCTAAAAGAGATAACATTTATTGTTTTCTAAAAATTCTTGAGTACTTTAGAGCTTATGTCTTAACATGCATTAAGTGATTAAAATTTAGCATTTACAACTCTCAGCAAAAAATACAATTGGGCTTAAGTTTAGTAAAAATGGTAATTAAATATTAGATTTTCTTTTCATCCAACTACTGTTTAACATAGTGTTTATTGTGCTTAAATAAAAGAGATTTCTGACACAGATAAGACTGGATAGCTTTTAGATGGACAATACCTTATGTAAAGTTCCAGATAGTCCAAGGATTTTAAAGTTAATGTCTTTTTAAGGTTGCTTTTTCTACCCACTTCTAAAATAATTGATAAACTGACAAGAATGCAAAGTAACGTAAATTCAATCACCTGAATATTGTTTTCAACAAACGTCAGTGGTTATTCTTTTTATAATTTCAGGGGAAATGAACAACATGACTAATGTCATTATAATATTCTCATTAAATGCCCACATGGAGTTTCTGAATTGTTTTATAACCATTGGCTAATATGTTAAATTAAGCAAAGAACAACTCATGTAGATGAGAAATTATGACAGTATCACAAGATTTTTTGTCATGAATCAGACTTTGGAATCTGACTGTAGAATGTGAATGGCTCTTGAAAATATCCCTGAAGAGTGGTTTATCTGAATGTTTAATACTCAGATATGTAAGTTGCTAAATGTGCTTACCTAGTGAAACCTTTTCATTCATCTTCGATAATACTAAGCGTCATAGAATTCATTATACTTTATTTATAATGCCATTTCCTTCTATTTAGAATTTTCTTTACAAAGTAAAAGGAAAACCTGTGCAGATTGGTAAAATCGCCCCGCCCAAAACTACATATATACATTCCACAAACTCTAATTTGCATACTTCTCTTGAGGTATTTTCAGGTTTCCCAAGTATAATCTGTTGTTGGCGAGAGACAAAGTGCTCTATATAAGCATTTCTTATCAATGGTCCATTCAGCATTACATCAAACAAGAATTCCAGCAGACTTTTGCTAAGAGGCTGCATTTAGTTTTGCTTGAGAAGTTCAATTATTTAAAACAGTTTGATTCCTCTTGTTAATGGTAGTCAGGTATCAGACGGCTACCAGTAACCACTGGATATATTAGATGGAGCATCTCACAGAACGAAATTGCTTTATTATATGTAAATTACATAGACACTTATCAAGAATATATAATTTCGTAATTTCTACACAATGTTAGAGTATTACTTTGCTAGATGTTGAAAACCTGTATCTCGTTGTCCCTTATATATTGTCCCCATACACACACACACACACACACACACACACACACACGCACACACAACTTGTTTCTAACAAATTTGAAGCATTTAAAAAATCTGGAAAGCAAACAGTTGACAGATTAATTTAGTAAATTCTTTGATTTTTCTGATTATCACATCAATAGCTGGAACACGCATTCTCCACTTTCTTTTCAACCAAATATCCAATCAACCAATATGCACATAATAAAAGTTACAAGGTGTTTACCAAAGAAATCCAAGAAATACATT